CGGAGAGTACCGAAAAGAACAACATCTCACAGACACCACACCAACGCCGCACAACCACACCAACGCCGCACGACCACACCAACGCCGCACGACCACACAAACACCACGCTTGGCACCGCACTCACTCATGTGATCAGTAACACTGTCTCAGCACCGCAACGTCAAGCTTGGGCAGGACAACCATTATGGGAACCAGCCCGCAACGCCTCCATCCAGCCTGATGTAGGAACACATCACCACACAGCAGTGCGGCGAGCACCAAAGCAGGGAGATCCATGTTGGAACTCCGTCCAGGCTGGATAGGGACAAAGGCAGCATGTTCCCTGTGCGACCCATACCACCACGTTGTGCATGGCCCCATACAACCACAATGCCCCATGCTCGGCTCAATACACACACGGGGGCATGGCCTCATGCCCCATCCTACAGGCATACCTGTCCGGCCACCAAAAGTGTGGCTCCAGTTTCGTCCTCCATGGGGGTCTCCACACAGGTTCCAGTTCCCCGGCCCCAGGTCCCTGTGTCCCTGGCCCCGTCCCCAGGGCCCAGGTCCCCTGTGCCTCAGATCTCCAGGTACCAGGCTCCCGTCCTCGCGTCCCAGATGACACGAGTTATACGGTCGCAGGTCCCCGTACCCAGGTCCTTGTGTCCTCGGCTCCAGGTCTCCGTTCTCTGGACCACGTGCCTGAGGGCTCAACTCAAAACTTCCAGGACCTGGTCTCCTCATCCAGAGCCTTTGTATCTCCGGCACACGCAACAAGCCTGCTGACCTCAGAACGTTGTATTTCCGCTCCCGGGGTTCCCGGGTTTTCTGAGCAAACTCTTCTTGCTCAGGTCCCTCTCGCCACCAAGGTCATATGCCAGGTCCACTTTTAGTAAAGTCCCACGCGCTCTGGCAAGATTTCAATGTCCCACCACCAAAGTGCCCCTTTCCGGCCGAGAGCACGGGTTCCGGGCTTTCGTGCACGTGCTTTGCAGGTAACCGGGTCTCTCCGTCTTCACCTCCACGGTCTCCTCACTCAGGTCCCACAGGGCACCGATGCCAGGGCCTCGTGATTCGAACCACAGAACTCCTATCCCCGAGACCACAAATTGCAGTCCCAGGATGCCGTGCCTCGAAAATCCATATTCCAGTTTCCCAGCACACAGCTCTTGACCCGCTCCTCTCCCGTCAGCCTTGAGCCCTCAGGTGCCCTCAATCTCAGAACTCGGGTCTCTTCTTCACGCAGTGTGCCCCCCGCCTTGAGACTCCAGGTCCTCTATCTCCTCACACCCTGATATTGTCGGTTCCCCTGTAACCTTGCGGTGCCCTCCCCCCCCTACTCTCCAAGTCCCCACTCTCTAGGTGCCCACTCTCCAGGTGCCCACTCTCCAGGTGCCCACTCTCCAGGTGCCCACTCTCTAGGTGCCCACTCTCTAGGTGCCCACTCTCTAGATGCCCACTCTCTAGGTGCCCACTCTCTAGGTCCCCACTCTCCAGGTGCCCACTCTCCAGGTGCCCACTCTCTAGATGCCCACTCTCTAGGTGCCCACTCTCTAGGTGCCCACTCTCCAGGTGCCCACTCTCTAGGTGCCCACTCTCTAGGTGCCCACTCTCTAGGTGCCCACTCTCTAGGTGCCCACTCTCTAGATCCCCTTCTACCCCCGTGCACTCCGCCGATGTCGCTCTTCCCGCGCGCTCTTCGCCTCTGAGCACCGCGCGCGCGCTCCGCCCCCACCCCAACCCAACCCCCTCCGCCCCTTCGCCACCCCCCCACCACCAACACCCCCCCCCACTCACCCCGCCGCAAACGCCGAGCTGCCATTGGGTCAGCTTCTCGAGGAGAACCGAAGCCTTCCTCGTCGCGATTGGTCAACGCCGCGGGGATTCGGAAGTCGCGCGCGCGCCCGCGTGACGTCACGCGGCTTCCGACACACCCCCAACACACCCACCCCGCGTCTTAGGCCCCACCCCCGTTACGGATCGATATCGGGTGTTGAATAAGAGCGATCGATTCCGTTTGATATATACATAGTACTGAAATCGATTTCGATTACGGTGTTATGATTTAGATTCCGATGCTTATCTGGGCAATGTTAATAGATTCTTGCTCGTAACGCGATTTCATTGAAACCGAGTAAGCGCAGGACTTAAGAATCAGAATAAATGTTTGCTTAAAACTTTGTTGACTGCAGGAATTCATATTGTATGGTTCTTTCGGTAAAGTCACGTAGATAGAAAAAAATAACAATAAAATATTCATAATAAAGGTTTTTGGGTTAGATCGCGTTTATTTATAAATGTGTCGTAACCCTCCACCACCCGACACGGCCAATCAGCAAAGAAAAGTGTCACGTTGACAAAAGACAAATAATTCACTACTTCAGCCCACCGGTGTGTTGAAGAGTTAATCCACATTTACAGTTTGAGTACGACGTTTCGCTGGTAAATACTTCCAGCATCATCGGGCAATTCGCCAGAATTCTGCCCGATGATGCTGGAATTCTGCCCGATGATGCTGGAAGTATTTACCAGCGAAACGTCGTACTCAAACTGTAAATGTGGATTAACTCTTCAACACACCGGTGGGCTGAAGTAGTGAATTATTTGTCTTTTGTCAACGTGACACTTTTCTTTGCTGATTGGCCGTGTCGGGTGGTGGAGGGTTACGACACATTTATAAATAAACGCGATCTAACCCGAAAACCTTTATTATGAATAATATTGGTCGCGAAAGCCTACGTGTTAAACAATAAAATACTAAACATTAAAATAAAGTATTTATTTATTTGTTTTTTCAATCACTTTATGTATTATTGTTATTATTTTTTCTATCTACGTGACTTTACCGAAAGAACCATGGAATACTAATCTTGATTTAGACTGGATGAATCCGATGAGCTCTGAAGCTCTTTTTCACAGATGTCCAGCCAATACAAAGCAGTCAATACAAACAAATAATTGGGAGTGAATAATAGTAACCAAAGTTACTAAATATAAGTAATAAAGTGATTCCCATCGACATCACTAGCCATGGTCAATCCACTGCTGGATGGTCACTGTGAATAACTTTGGAGAAACCACGTAACTCGTCTGATTTGCAGATATTTGAGCAAATACTTAAAAGCGTGGCTAACACCTGGGTTGTGTTCTGTTCAAGGAGAAGTTGTAAACAGATTCTCGACTCTTCCACCATTATCAGATTCAACATGCACATCCAAAGCAATCGTCAGCCGTGCTCTATCCACTGCTATGTGAATGTCTCGACGTCTCACGATATAAATTCACGTAAAGACAGGATTGGTGTAGCGGCAACACTTGTACCGCACAGCAACAAAGGCCTGGGTTCAATTCCTGACTCCGGCACCTTTCAGCGTGGAGTTTGTATGTATAAATGTTCTCCCCCTGTTCTGCGTAGGTTTCTTCCGGTTTCCTCCCATGGCTAAAACAAAAACATACAACTAGAAATGGAAAAACATCCAAATGCTGAAATGTTACCAGCAAATTATACAATTGGCAACATCACCACCTATTGCAAAAACCTAGGAGGACCCTCTTGAAAACTTTAGATACTAAGGCATTCCTTGATAAACAATGTCACATTTTCTTTGGTTCTTTCGGTAAAGTCACATAGAATGAGAATAAAATAATAAATTGATAAAATAAAATAACACAAGAAAATTCTCACGACGTTTCGGCCACAACACAAGCAGCATTCAACATAGCTATTTCTGTGACCAGTCACAAGCTAATCACTCAGCTATTTCAATGCTAAATGCTATGCTAATTCCTTTGTCAAGGCGCTTTGTTTCTTCTCACACAGCTTAAAGGTCACGATCTGAGCGTGGCTTTTTCGCTCCAGCGCTGTCCTCCAGACAGTCTCGTCCCTTCACCTGATGAAGGCCGCTTGTGTTGTGGCCGAAACGTCGTGAGAATTTTATTATTTTATTTTAAAAATGTATTATTTTATTCTCATTCTACGTGGCTTTACCGAAAGAACCAAATAAGATGAATCATTGCAGTCACGAAAGCTTTAAATCGAAATGTCACATTTATTCGACAACTTTTAAACCATGGATTGTAATACGATACCATTCTGATCATGATTCATATATATTTTTAAGTTTACTGTAGCCGTCGTTATAAAAATGTTTTACAGATGTGGCCATTGTGGTTTCAGAAAAACTGCACGGTATGTATTGTACCAACTAGTTTTAGAGCTTACGGGAAATGTCCTGACAAGATGGTCATACAATTTACCTGCCATAGCAACAAGTATCGTATTGGCTCTCTTACAAAATAACATGTAGGGTACATTGGATATTCATGGAGATGTGGGTACAGGCTTGGTGCAGTGCTGTAAATTAAACGATGTTGAATGTATTGGACGATGCTCCGTCTATGCTCCCCGCCTGCACTAACCTGCACCGACCAGCGTGGCGAGGTGTACCAAAGTAGCCCCCACACGACCCGCACAGCATGGGGGAGGGCCCTCATCCAGCAGTGGATTGACAAATGCACTGTACAAGCACATGATGTATTGGGTGGTTGATTGGGTCACTGATGGGGTGACCTTGGGCGAGAGGCAAGAGAAGGTTAACGGACCCACACCGTACTGGTCTGTGCACATCCCTATGTCAATCCACTGCTGGATGAAATACTTTCCACATGATATTTCTCACTGGGGCTGTGTGACCATAAACCACTTTGCTGGTCAGTGTGTGTTCAGGAAAGAGGGAGCTCAGAATCAGTTCAGACATCATGCTCCACTGTTAACCATAGCCAATCATTGAACTCAGTTCAGGATCTATTGGACTGCATTAACTACTGTGTTACCACCTCACCGGATTACACTGTTTACAATGGAGCTGACTGCACATCCAGTGATCATTACACAGCAAAACTACATCATTGTGACTGGGCAATCATGGGCATTGTGAACTGGGGCTGTCGAACACTGCTCCCTAGTGGTAGCCTTGGATCACTGCATGCACCCACAAATGAATTCACAACAAACTTCGTAATTTAATGGGTTTATTATTAACGCCGCGGTCAGGTACATTTTTTGTTTTCACGTTGCAAAAGTAGGGCCTCTCCAGAACCCGTGTAATGGACAACTTATACTCACATACAACTTATGAAAAAAAACAATCCTGGAAATAAAAACAAACTCCAATATCCAATCTGCATCGGGTATCTTTTCACCACCCCCACAAACTATAGCCAGGAACGCATGCATCCAAGATCCTCATTCAAATCCCCTGCAACACAACACAAGAACACACCAACATGTTAGTTATCTTCATATGAAGGTTTTTGTTGCCAATATTATGATCAGGAAGTGAGAATTACCTCTTGGTCTCTCACCTGAAAATGATTGATGCAATTTCAAGCAAAACATATCTAATTGCTAAATTTGGTTGTGAAAATTGTTCAACTTACTGGTGAGCTAAGACAAGAATAACATGACTCGTTAAATGCTTGTGCAAGTGACAATTTTATGTATTTGGTTGTCGGGCGCTGGAGGTATTCATGGACATGAATATTGCGAACATTATTATGCGGCCTAACCCAAAATTAAATTACGATTCTAGTTCATTTTATTTATTATTACGAAAGGAGGCTTTTACGGAACGCACATAACGCCCATTTAAAAGAACAAGCCTGTTAATAGCAAATGAGGCGGCAGGTTTATGTCATGTGTGAAAACCCCCGATTAGCAGTTGGTTACGTACAGTGCCAAAGTAGTTCAACATACATACTGTGAGTGAAAAAAGTATTTGATCCCCTGCCCACTGACAAAGAAATGATCAGTCTATATTTTTAATGCTAGATTTATTTGAACAGTGAGAGACAGAATAACAAGAAAATCCAGAAAAACGCATGTCAAAAATGTTATAAATTTATTTGCATTTTAATGAGGGAAATAAGTATTTGACCCCCTCTCAATCAGAAAGATTTCTGGCTCCCAGGTGTTTTTTATACAGGTAACGAGCTGAGATTAGGAGCACACTCTTAAAGGGAGTGCTCCTAATCTCAGCTTGTTACCTGTATAAAAGACACCTGTCCACAGAAGCAATCAATCAAAATCCAAACTCTTCACCATGGCCAAGACCAAAGAGCTCTCCAAGGATGTCAGGGACAAGATTGTAGACCTACACAAGGCTGGAATAGGCTACGAGACCATTGCCAAGCAGCTTGGTGAGAAGGTGACAACAGTTGATGCGATTATTCGCAAATGGAAGAAACACAAAATAACTGTCAATCTCCCTCGGCCTGGGGCTCCATGCAAAATCTCACCTCGTGGAGTTGCAATGATAATGAGAACGGTGAGGAATCAGCCCAGAACTACACGGGAGGATCTTGTCAATGATCTAAAGGCAGCTGGGACCATAGTCACCAAGAAAACAATTGGTAACACACTACGTCGTGAAGGACTGAAATCCTGCAGCGCCCGCAAGGTCCCCATGCTCAAGAAAGCACATATACATGCCCGTCTGAAGTTTGCCAATGAACATCTGAATGATTCAGAAGACAACTGGGTGAAAGTGTTGTGGTCAGATGAGACCAAAATGGAGCTCTTTGGCATCAACTCAACTCGCTGTGTTTGGAGGAGGAGGAATGCTGCCTATGACCCCAAGAACACCATCCCCACCGTCAAACATGGAGGTGGAAACATTATGCTTTGGGGGTGCTTTTCTGCTAAGGGGACAGGACAACTTCACCGCATCAAAGGGACGATGGACAGGGCCATGTACCGTAAAATCTTGGGTGAGAACCTCCTTCCCTCAGCCAGGGCATTGAAAATAGGTCGTGGATGGGTATTCCAGCATGACAATGACCCAAAACACACGGCCAAGGCAACAAAGGAGTGGCTCAAGAAGAAGCACATTAAGGTCCTGGAGTGGCCTAGCCAGTCTCCAGACCTTAATCCCATAGAAAATCTGGAGGGAGGTGAAGGTTTGAGTTGCCAAACGTCAGCCTCGAAACCTTAATGATTTGGAGAAGATCTGCAAAGAGGAGTGGGACAAAATCCCTCCTGAGATGTGTGCAAACCTGGTGGCCAACTACAAGAAACGTCTGACCTATGTGATTGCCAACAAGGGTTTTGCCACCAAGTACTAAGCCATGTTTTGCAGAGGGGTCAAATACTTATTTCCCTCATTAAAATGCAAATCAATTTATAACATTTTTGACATGCGTTTTTCTGGATTTTCTTGTTGTTATTCTGTCTCTCACTGTTCAAATAAACCTACCATTAAAATTATAGACTGATCATTTCTTTGTCAGTGGGCAAACGTACAAAATCAGCAGGGGATCAAATACTTTTTTCCTTCACTGTACATACATTCGCAGCTGTTCATACATTCGCAGCTGTTCCAGCACTCACTTGATCATGTAGGCAATGTCCCAGTTGGTCTCCAGGGTGGCGGGAGGCAGCACCTTGGAGCCCTCCTTCGTCACCACCGCTATCTCAAACTGCGACACAATCACAAAATAGATGCACATTAACAACGCAACACTAAAAACTAACTCATACCCATTGACTGTCCTTACTAAATTATTAAATACTCCTTCAGGCTATTCCGCGCAGGAACACGTTCAGAGTAATCCATGAGCTGGAATGATATTTGCACGCTTATTTATTTTGGGGTTGCTCCTTCTCTTGTCTCGGCAGGACAGCCTCGCAGGATGAGAGGTCTGCTGGGAGCCACGCAAGGGGACAAATCGGGAACGTGGGACTCACCTTGTTGTAGGAACGAGCGTCGCGATAATAGAGGATCTTGAGGCAGCGCTCCATTAGCTCCATGGCCTCCTGCTGGGACATGTCTGGATTCTTCTCTTGCTCGTCCCTCAAGAGAGGCTGGACGAGAATACAGGGGCACACACAGTCAGTCGAACAGTCGTATCAGTTACCTGCATATAAATCGTTTAATCAGGTCGCTAACAAATATCAACCGTACAAACTCTCATACCAACGCAAGCAGTCAAGCCTGCACCAACAGTCAGTGGAACGAACATCAACACGGACAATCAAGGCAACACCAACATCAATAGAACCAACACACACTCACAACCTCAATTAAACTGGCACGAAAAAGTCACACTAACAGTCACAATACAATCTTACCACAAATCAACATCCATACAGTTGATCAAACCAACATAAAAAGACCACTCCCACCAACACAATCAAACTAACACGAACAATGACACCAAGCCATGAGCACCAGCACCAACATACTTGATCAATCCAACATATCCATACATCCACACGAACACAGGTAATAAAACCAAGATCCACGCAACCCTTCAGTACTGACACAATAACACTAACACAATCAAACTAAGAGGGGTGCCAATAAACACATCAATAAAGGCGACCAAACCGGTCATACCAACCACATCAACATATCATACCAAGACCATCACACCAATGCTAACAAACCATGTCATACCAACATCCAAACATACCAACACCAGAACACGCAGTTCAATACTAATACGGGCAAAAAAAACACAGTCCGTCATGGTTAAAACTGTCTCAGAAGATTGAGAAACTGCCGCGATAAATGTCAAGTAACGTTAGAGGCTACGGTAATTCCCCAAAAGCATTGATGAACGAGTTGAGGTTTTGTTACTTATGCACCACTGGTAATGCATTTTGGCAAAAATGTTTTTACAACAAGTATTGGAATTGCTTTTGCACTGGATGCAGTCTTCTCAGTTCTTCTCAAAAAAGAGTTTAAAACTGCGTATTTTGAGTTTGCAAAGCAAATCAATGGCACCTGGGGTCACCAGATGGATTCCATTTGTACCTCCTGCAAAAGCGTGAGATTGGGTAATGACCGGTGACGTTAGTGATTGATTGCACTTCACCGCAGTCTCAATTAGGCGACTGCTAAATTCCTCAATTAGGGAGACTCGCAGACACTGATTTCGAGCCCAGTAAACGTACGTAGACTCTCATCGACCCATGTCCTCTGTCTTGTGGCGATAACAACATTTACAAGGGTAGATCAGGTTTGAATAGCCAGCGACCCACTGACTTGCACAAATACCCATATACTCAGACCCCTACAATACAGCGTGGCGAGTGATGGATGACACTTCACCAGTCGCAATTAGGAAACTCCTTAATTTTCCATTTATGGAGGGAGGTTGCCGCCCCTCCCATGTGTTGTTCTAATGGTTACGTGCAGGGCAATCACTCAAGATCAAGATGTTACCATGGCCAAATCCGCTGATGTCACCACACATTCTACCCTCTGCCAGATCCCGCAGATGCTGCACAGTAGACAAGCAACCACCAAGATCTGCCCTTGCAGTATTCCACCATCACCGGACATGGGGAGACCATTCAAATGTCTGTCTTGGCAATTGGCCCTCACCCATCTTTCAATCATGGCCTCCAAAGGGCAGTGTCCAAGTATGACACGCACAATTAAGCCCCTCGTCTTTCAGATCATACCAAGGCCAGGTAAGCTCCGAATCCTGTCGCCACCACGGGAGACTCGTAAGCCACACCCAGCTTGTCCACGTAGCCAAGGAAACTGCACACAAGGGAACGACCACAGTGCATCGTTACACGTGTGAGCACATACACATGTACAGATCTCTTGTCAGTCCACGAGTGCAAGAGGGTCTCCCCAAGCCGTGGGTCGTGGGGTGGTTATATGAACGTGCCTCACCAAACTAATTCTTGTGGGTTGGTAAAGACAGGCATTGTAAATGTAGGAGAGTAGAAGTACACGTCAACAATGAATTACGCAGCATTGCTTTCTGCTGCCCACAAACATGGCCCTTTAACACGTAGGCTTTCGCGACCAATATTATTCATAATAAAGGTTTTTGGGTTAGATCGCGTTATTTATAAATGTGTCGTAACCCTCCACCACCCGACACGGCCAATCAGCAAAAAAAAAAGTGTCACGTTGACAAAAGACAAATAATTCACTACTTTAGCCCACCGGTGTGTTGAAGAGTGAATCCACAACATTTACAGTTTGAGTATGACGTTTCGCTGGTAAATACATCCAGCATCATCGGGCAATTCACCAAAATGGTAAAGCCCTCGCTTGCTCCCGGTTTTAAATAGAGCAGCAGGGTGACGTCATCATTTAACTCATATCAGGTGCAGTGATTAGAGGCGGAGGGGGGGGTATTGTAATTATATAATCGATTAGTAATCAGTCAATGGTTATGATTAGTAATGAGTTGTAGATTAGTAATTAGTTGTAATGTGTGTTAGTGATTATATGCTATGTTAGTAATCCGTTAATTAGTATGTGTTTCCCCTATAAGGAATTGTAATGTGCATTCATATTCCTAGCTCCCTCGGCAACGCGACGCTGAAGGAAAACAACAAATATATACATTTTATTATTTTATTGCTTCCCCCCAACGCGACTCCACGGAAAGAGCCAAGAACATGAATCACTGCAGTCACGAAAGCTTGAAATCAAAATGTAATGTGTATTATTTAATAATACGCTTCCAGGCCGCACTAAGCCTGTAGCTGTCAGAGCGATTAAAGTTATTTTTATTCCTCTCAATTTCAATGGATTCTCTAATTAGTCTTTGCCAGTAATAATTATTTGTCTTTTGTCAACGTGACACTTTTTTTTTGCTGATTGGCCGTGTCGGGTGGTGGAGGGTTACGACACATTTATAAATAACGCGATCTAACCCAAAAACCTTTATTATGAAAAACATGGCCCTGCAATCATAAGGACAAATTGTTGATGCATGGGCGGTCACCCATCCTAGCACTATCCAAGCTCAACCTGGCTTAGTTTGCAAGATCTGACGAGGTCGGGCACATTCCAGGTGATTTTGTCGTTGTGGTGCCGTTACACAAGATCTGTTAAAACGCACCACTCCGACACTCGGGCCCCAAAATAGCATTGACTGATGTGGTGCAAAAGCTCAGCTCACCTCTCCCCTTTGTGGTAGCCTCCAACCACGATCGTGTTCCACAGTGGATTGAATTTGCTCCTCCTGGTGAACAAACCGCCATGTGAGAAGGCATGCCAAACACAAAAATATAGTCAAAAGACAACAGGAGTAGCATATCTCCTGCTGAATGGAGATCAAATGCAAATTTCCACAAAAATCCTTGGAAGAGAGAGACCATAAACATGACCACGCATACAGAAAAGATTCCCCATATGGCTTTTAACAGACTGTTGGGGCAAATGCTGTAACTCTAGATGTGGAGGTTGGGCTTTACCTGTTGTACATCACCCGGGTAAGCCAGGAGTGAATGGCCTTGGGGGTGTAGTAGTGTCCATCCTCCAACACCTGATCGTCAATCCTGTAACCACAATGAAATGCTTAGAAGCAATAATATACAGAGAGAAAGGTGAAGAACAGCAAAGATGGACCGCTTTTGGAAGACCTCAATTTAGTAATGAGATGGAATATGACAATATGCCACGGAAGACAGTTTTAAATCAATGCATCGTACCTGCTAAGACACATGAGATCAGAAACATGGATACCGACCAAAGAAAATTAAACAATATTTTTTTAAAGTTTACAAATTAGCATTACAAGATGCATACCTGTCAACCTGTACAGTTTACCCGTATTCTTATAGTATTCAGGTCCGTACGGTGTACAGCCTTTTCAATATGGACAAAATTTTTTTATTTGTTTGTGTTTCTCCCTTGTCATGGGACTTGGTAGGATGAACGTTGAGATTTATCAGGGCACGGGGTGACCAATAAGGTCCGAATTGGTCTGTAATAAGGTAGGGCACTGATAAGGGGTTGACAAGTATGCAAGATGGATGTTTGGAATTACACTGGGCTCGAAAAAGCAACAAATGGTTATATTCTTGGTTCTTTCGGTAAAGTCACGTAGATAGCAAAAATAATAATACATGAAAATAATAAAAGCAAAAATAAAACACAAAAATTGTAAAATCTAATTAAAATAAATTGAAAATAATAAAGGCAAAAAACCCACACCATTTTTTTTCTATCTAAGTGACTTTACCGAAAGAACTAAGAATATGAATTCCTGCAGTCACGAAAGTTTTAAGTCAAAATTCAACAAATGGTTACAAAACACAACGAGACAAAGTGATCGTTATGGAAAGTTGGTTTGGTCAGGACACATTACTAGCAGGGATGATGGCCGATGGACAAGACTTGGTGATGCAATGCCAGTCAAAGCAGAGAAAGCATCCGAGAGAATGGCCACCACGTTAAGAGTGATGAGATAAATTAATGTACAGGAAATAAGATTGTGGCAGACCATGTGAGATGACAATTGTGTGGGGAGGCCTTTATCCAGCCATGCATGGAGTGACTGATGCTGACCAACAGAACAGAAAATCTACGTGCATTGATTGCTGAACAGTTTAATACAATGACTTTGATAATGGTAATTAGCGATGCTTCGTGAAAGGAGACGGGCCAGAGGCCAGTTCAATAGATATCGGAGGTAGCTGTGGTTTCTGCTCCTGTGGACTGTTCTCCAACTCAAAGGGGCGCACCGCTGAGACTCAAAGGACAATTTGTCGAATACCATAATCCCAAAAGCATAATCCGGGTAAAATTGAGGAAATAATTAAAATTTACCCTGATTTGGTCAATACTATAGTTTGTTGTATTGTTTCATGTTGTAACTTACTGACCTACCCCAACTGGACATCCAGTATAAATAAATATTTTGATCTGTTAAAAAAAGCTTGCTAGCTTAGCTCATCGGATTCCTCAAGGATAAACAAAAATTCTGATTCTGAATACAGACCCAGTGTTGGGTTAACAAAGCCCGGTTCCCAGTGGCCATGAAAACAGGGCATAAGATGTAACTCTATTCCCAATGGATCACTGGAAAATGAGCAATAAACAAATACACTCCGCTGTGTGACCTCATCACAGCGAGTCCACACCATTACGACCCTTGCAGGCCACTTTCCACTTACACCATCTGCTCCAGGACATCCTTGAGGTACTGGAAGTCGGCGTAGTCGCCCGATGCCCCCAGCAATGTCTTGTCGTTGACCGCCATGAGGCGGGAGATGTTGCGGAAGCGGGCCAGCGAGCCGTACGAGCCCAGCATGTCAGCCGCCACCAGCACCCCGCCATTGAACTTGATGCCCAGTACGGACGCCCCGGCCACCATGGGGTTCCTGGAAAATAGGAAGGAGGCGGCACGTGGAGAATATGTAAGATTCAACTTCATTAGCACTTCTCTTGTCGATACACGATGCAGTTCCACAAAGTGTCCACATTCAGGGACGGAATTCAGACAAATAAAGTCATAATAATCATCGCTAGGGTCAATCCACTTTTGGATAAATGCCTGCCTAAGCCACCACCACCTCCCACGATTTTGCAATGCAACAATGCACTCGCACATTAAATGTCTTCTGTAAAATTGCTCCATGTTAGGGTCCATCCATTTAGTACGTAAGCATGGAGGGGGCAGGGGGGGGTTAACCTAAATGCATATGCTTGCGTATGGGGGGGGGGGTCTACTGACGATGTACGTACGCATAGGAAACGGGGGGGGGGTGAAGCCTCGATAATCATTTGTCTACATTGGATTTCAAATGAGTTAAGATAGTCCGGCGGTGGACTATCTGTTTGCTTAAACACGTTCAATTTAATCAATCCTTCATCGTTTCTGCGTGGATTAAATATCGGCCGTTCAATATGATTCGGGGGGGGGGGGTGCGTCAAGCGTACGTACACAGGTCGGGGGGGGGGGTGTAAGAAGTACGCGTGCGTACAGGGAGGGGTCAAGTTTTGACAGATCTTTGCGTACGTACTAAATGTATGGCCCCTTATCGGCGATTTATCCTCTTGGACGCGTTCCAAGAGGATGTCCACCAAATCAAGTGCGCACTGACCGGCCTGAGACGATGCATACACTACGATCTTATTTATTTAGAACTGCTTTGTATTTAGTTTGTCGTCCTTCCCCGTACCTCCGATTAACACAGTTGGCTACGAAGCTCTACATACGTACATAATAGGGGGGGGGACACCTGAGGTTTGATTCCACCTTAAATAATTCCGCTAGGATGCGTCGCTGGAAGGGATAATGCCTCGCGATCGCTCGAGATTAACGACAGTGACATTCATATTATTGGTTATTTGGGTAAGGTCACGTGAATAGAAAAAATAACATAATTTAAATAAAAAATGTTAATAATAAATTGAAAAAAATATAAGCAAAAACCCCACTAAGATTATTTTTTTTATTTTCTATCTACGTGACTTTACCGAAAGAACCAAGAATACGCTCGAGGACATCAACCGCGGAGCCGGGAGCGATGGAATCGTCTCTCGACCAGGAGTCGGCAACCTGCGGCTGCCCCCTTGCGGCTCCTTTGACTTTCCCCCCCCCCCCCACCTTTACGGGCAGCCGTTTTTATTTTGCTGCAACAACAAACAAAAAACACGTGCATTTACTTTATTCTATTATTTACGCTCTAAAGCGGTGGTCGTCAACCCCGCCACACTCCCGGAGCCGCACGCGCGGCTCTTAAAGGACCGCTTCGTGACGCCTATTTAGCAAGGACCACCACAGACTCTCATAGCCACCACACGGTGCATAGCGGCTCTTAAAATTCTGAGGGGGTTTTTTTTATTTACAGAATTCGAAAATAAACGTCCCTCGTGTGAGTGTTGGTTTCAGACCCCTGAGCGTAGACGGATTATTATTGCATGGCAGATGGCGACTTCGGAAGGCCTTCCTCTAGCAATGGACAATAAAGATTACGTGCGACGATTGTTAATTGAAATGCAGAGGTTTTTAATGTAACAATATATATCTCCGTGTATATCACGTGGAGGTGGAGCGGCTCACTGCGCTATGAACATGCCAACACGAGTTTGATTCCCGGCCAAGGCTAACCTCAGTGGAGAGTGACATCTTAACGGGTCCTGGACTCCCAATTCACAAACTCGCACCGGCCCAGTGTGGTGAAGTATGGCCTGCCAAACATCCCCGACGACAGACAGCACGGACAAGGCGTCATCCAGCAGTGGATATATCGCGACCGACGCAGTTTAGGAGAACCCTTTACAAGAGGCCTCCTCCAACCCCCAGCGGGCCTGCATGACAACGCTAGTCGAGGACGCGGTCCATTGATCTCACCGCTGTCTCTCACCAAAACCACCACCACCACCACCACCCCCCTCATCTGCCCCGTCTCCTCTCACTTACAGCGTGTGCCTCGCGGGCCCGAGGGCCGCGGCCGCGCCGGGCCCGGGGAGCGAGTAGAAGGCGCCGGGAAGCGCGGCGAGGCCTCCGGAGGCCGAACTCCACATCTGCGCCATGTCTGCTTTCTTTGAGCCGGTCGCACGTGACGTCACACACCTTGACGTCCGTCCCCACTCCTTATATGGTCAGGGGGGCGGGTCGAATATGATTATCCGCCCCTCGAACGGAGGGGCGTGTTGATTTTGACGCCCCCACTCCTTATATAGAGATATAGGGGCGGGTTGACTTTGACGCCCCTCCCCCTTACTCCTTATATGACGATAGAGGAGCGGTTTAGCTATAGCGCCCCCCCCAACTCCGAATATGTTTGATAGAGGGGCGGGTTGACTATGACGCCCCCCCCCCCGACTCCTTATATGGAGATAGAAGGGCAGGTTGGTAATAACACCCCGCCCCCGCACTCATATGGAGATAGAGGGGTGGGTTGACTATGATCCCCCCCCCACTCTTTATATGGAGATAGAGGGGCGGGTTGACTATGACCCCCTCCCACTCTTTATATGGACATAGAGGGGGCGGGTAGTCTATGAGACAATCCCCCGCACGCCTTATATGGAGATAGAGGGCGGGTTGACTGACCCCCCATTCCTTATATGGAGATAGAGGCGGCGAGTAGTCTATGACACCACCCCACTCCTTATATGGAGATAAAGGGGCGGGGCTGCACTAATAAATATCACCGCGTTTTCGTGCCAGGTCAGAGGGCTTTTTTATACTTTCAGAGTGAAAAAAGTCATCGCTGTACATTAGTACTGTAGTTCTTTTTGTGTTTAAATCCACTGTTGGATGAAGGCCCAGGATTTACTTGGCTATTTGTCCATCACGTTGGTAACTGTGACGGTTGGTGAAGGAGAAATTGACATGGAAGCATAGAAGTATAGTATGACAATGCGCAATATCGCCTAACGTTAATGCGACATTACATTTCAATGTACATTTCAATGTAATGTCGCCTACGTTTTACATTTGAATGTAATGTCGCTTAATTTATAGCAGATATAAACATGAAAATAAGACGCCGACAATATGTTTTAATTTTGAACCCAAATGGCTTGAAGCGATTTAATAAAACATACTGTTCCACACTTGGAACAATCGGCAGCGTGTCTATTGTCACTGTGACACGTCTGTTATTGTTGTAAAACGTCATGTAGAATTATCACAACCTATATTCTTGGTTCTTTTGGTAAAGTCACGTAGAAGGGAAACAATAAAATAATAAAAATATAAACCAATAAAATTATCACGACGTTTCGACTGCAACACAAGCAATCATCATCAGGTGTGAAAACCACAACAAGAAATCTTCTTTGGTTCTTTCGGTAAAGTCACGTAGAATGAGAAACACAACAAGAAAATTTTAAAAAGTGGCGATTTGTTTTTTAACGTTAGCACCACGGAGAGCGATTTAACCGTTTGTTCAGATGGACGAGTCCATCTATGTTCGGAAAAGAGGAGGGGGGAGACGAAAATGATGGGTGCAGTCTGAAAGCCACCTTAAGCGTGATCAATCAATTAAGACCCGAAATGGTTTATCAAATGCTTCCAATGATTGCTAAGCCAGAATCTTGTGGTTTTCACACCTGATAATGATTGCTTGTGTTGCAGTCGAAACGTCGTGAGAATTTCATTGTTTTATATTTTTATTATTTTATTGTTTCCCTTCTACGGGACTTTACCGAAAGAACCAAGAATAAGCCTCGCGTATGTCCGCTGGTCACAACTCTGCGTCGCAGACACGAGCTGTGGGCCCGAGGCTCGGGGTGTCTTTGTTTGGATTCACATTCAGCACCTCGAGTCGCGAGTCTCATCCCTGTAGTTCCCCGGTGTGGTGCCACATCCTTTAATCACGTAGCCCCCTCAATGCCCGTACACACGAGGCAATATCTTCAAAAGGAGTGTGTTCTACTCAGTACAAATGCACTTTATTTTTTTCTACACTGCCCTCCGCTACCTACAATGTAGCCCTTTCACAACTTTGTGCACGATGGGCGCCCGTGTATGTATATGTGTAATGAACTTCTTTCGCACCGTACTTGGCCAACCGTGCTAATCGGAGGTGCGGGGAAAAACAACAAACTAAACACAACAAGCAGTTTAAAGCACCTTCCAGACTCGTCCCCGCTGATCTTCCGAGATCATAGGAGATCCAGACAATTCTGGATGATTTGGCCATGAGCGCATTTGCACAACACTGGACGTGACAGTTTATTTTGCGAGGCGTGAAGCAGTGGATTGATCATGAACGAGGACGCTGTAGGCCTTCTGGAACCAGTAGCATAACGAGCGTGGGGGCAGGGGGTGCCTTGCCCCTCCCCTGGTGGCCAAAGCAACGAGTTGGGGCCCCCTTGACAACCACCATGGGATTTGTTTTCAACAACAGTGTAAAATAACAAACACTTGTTTAATGGTGTGATTAGGAGCCGCGATGTATAGCCTAGGAAGCGGCCGTGCGAGACAAATAAAATATTGACCCGTTGACGCACCCCCTGAGCTGATATTGTCGTAACGAGGCCACTGGCTGGAAAGCTTCACCGAAATTTAAGACTCATTTTCAGGAAAGCCCTCTTTTATTTGGGATGTTTGGCCAATTCCATTGTTAATGGGGGGTGGGTGGGGGGTGAGTTGAGCATTGTGGCGGAGGAAACCCAACACCCATCGGAGTCGATACCACTCTCTGTACAAACGGAATACGAATCCATTGCTAATCCCTCCATCTCCTGGCCACGTGGAGGTCTGTAACTCTTAGTTGACATGGCGGATCTTTTAAATACCCTTTAATTGCCACCCAGCCCATCATCTAGTGAGGATCGATACAATAAGTACCACTTTTCGGCAAATCAGCGCTTGTTTATCCCGTGGATAGATGGTCTTCTCCAGGGGAATGTGTAATTTCCACCACCGGCTTAAGTCGAAAGAGATGTCTTATGTGGGCTGGTGCCTTTCCCTTCGACGTTGAGCATCCCAGCAGCAGCCGCGAATGCGCCCCCAACACGGTGAACGGATCTTTGAGCCGTGCACCCGTGCAGTGAGGAGCCATGAGATTCTTCCGTCCTTTTGACCGAGACGTCGTGTCTATCAGTTTATTTGGTTAGTATTTATATATATTACAATTTGTATAGCGCCTTAACATGGCACGCCGTCGATCACAAGGGCTCTGACATAATTGTCATCGATCATAATTTTCCGTCATCATGATCACCATCACTACTGTCATCATCCATCATCTTCAATGAATAAACATTTCTAAGAAGAAATCGCTGTCATCCTGATCACATCATAATCATTCGCATCATGGTTGCTATCTCCATCATATCATAAAGCAGCAGCATGAATAGCATCATCTGCATTGTCATCACTATGACCACCATTATAATCATGATGTTTTGTCAACATTTTAAGCTTGATTATCATCATCATGATCATCGTTCTCATAATCACATCTTCATTATCAGAATCATTATCAATAGAACTATCACTACCATCATTACGATCACTCACCATCATCACCAACATCACTATCATCACACCACCATCATCATCAACACTGTTCCTCCGCGGTCGCTCGAACGAGCATCAGCTGATGCAGCCTGCAGCACGTGGCGGCGTGATGATGATAGCCATAATGTTCATCATCAACTTCGTCCTTAGTTGGATCACATTGCGTCCTAATTACGCATCCTTTGGCACGTTATTCACTCAATTGCATCATTGTAATTTTAAATTACTATTATTACAACTTAGCATTCCGATGATGTAGCGGAGACACAATAGGCGTTTGCCGAGCTTGATAAAACTCGCACCTCAAGCAATGCCTCCACCGCCACCCAGCCGCACATTCGAAAGAGACGATTACACGCACGGGATTCGCCAACCTCCAATCCTCCGACACAGACCACTGCGCTCTGCATCGAGTTGATATTGATTACGATTCCGTTCTAGCTCAGTTACCCAGCTATTTTGACAAGGGAGATCCGTAGCGCGTGAGCACATCAGCAACAACGAATAACAACAGACACAAAAAACAACACATTGATATTGTAGAGAACGGGTACAGCAGTGGACAAGGGGGGGGGGGGGGGGGACGGGGGGTCCTTAATGGATATTTCACAACAAACAAACGTGGTAATTGACGGTCGTAAACGAAGGTTATTACCAACCAAAATGTGCTGCTGTGTAGTTTTTCTCTGCCACTTCCGAAGCGTTGTCCAGATTTATTTATTCCTCGGCATCTTGCTCATTTAAGTAGTCGAAGGCGATTTCCACTCAGGGCTGGTCTCATAGCGAAACATTTGTAAATAACTGTAAAGTAGTCGACGAATCACGTATTTTATTAAACTACTTGGTAGATCGCAAAGCGATAGACGGGGTTGGCTACTGAGAGGTAGTGGTTGTTTTTCCTCCCGAAGTTATTTAACGAAGGCTTAATTTATTTATTTAACAAAGACTAATTTACTGCTATTCATATATGGTTACGGGACCATCATGAATTTAAAAAAAATCACTTGAAGCTACTTAATTAGCGAGATGCCGAGGAAGAAAGAAAAAATAGAGATCAAATGCGAGTGAAGTCACGGCGCGCTCGACGCGCCTGATGATTGCTAAACGCGTGCTACGCGGACGAAGAGTGCCTCTTGAAATGAATCGGATTCCGCGAGGGGCACGGTTGAGCAAACATGAAGCGTGCGAAGCGTGTCACACTCTAAACACATGCACAAATAACCAAAAAATTCAGAACCTTCGTAAAAAAAACACTGTATGGCCTGAAAAGGATATGTAATTAACGAGCTACGTTTCGGGAAATGGCCCTTCGTCATAGCAACTAGAATAATAGAGGGGCCACAGGGATAAAACGGATAATAAGAAATGAAAACTGCATTGAACTTCATGGCATGTGATGAGAATTACATTTTTAAATGTTTTCCGTTGCAGAGTTGTTAAATTGGCAGTCTGATCGGGTTATTTTGTATTTACTGGAGCGGTGGCGCCGTGGCGTTTGAACTGCGTTAAGGATCTTCCCTCCGCCTCCACCACCCCATTACCCCAACTTCACAGCCCACAATGACCTGCGTGGTGAAGTATGGTTAAACATCTCCCACGACCA